CTCACTTATACTGTTACCCCATGTCATGAATGAGGAAACTCGTGCTTAGTAGCAAGCGTATTAACTTGCTGAAAGTCACATTGCAAGTAAGCAGAAAAGCCAGGGTTTGAATGCAGTTTCTTCTTATCCCACAGCTCATATTCTTAGCTCCTAAAATATACTTAGAGTACATAGGGGAGTAAGGATTCCAATCCAGAGGCTTCTAAGTTTCTCTTCACTACATCCTGTTAAAATAGTCCAATTCTTTTTTTTTTTTTGGGGGGGGGTACGCGGGCCTCTCACAGTTGTGGCCGCTCCCGTTGCGGAGCACAGGCTCCGGACGCGCAGGCTCAGCGGCCATGGCTCACGGGCCCAGCTGCTCCGCGGCACGTGGGATCTTCCCGGCCCAGGGCACGAACCCGCGTCCCCTGCATCGGCAGGCGGACTCTCAACCACTGCGCCACCAGGAAAGCCCAAAATAGCCCACTTCTTATTTTGCTTTTGGGGATGCAGGAATCAGAGTCAGAACAGACTGTAAAGAATACAGCTAGCTGCTACAGAAAGTAAGTGTAAATCTTGTGGCTAGAATAAATTATGTCTTACTAAATAAAAGAGTTCTGAGTTGAAAACTCTTTTTGAGATCTTTGAGAATCCACAGAGAATAAGAAATCTGCTCAAAGAAAAGGAATAAGGTGAATGTCATCCTGATTTGCAATAGGGAAAAGTATGAGGGTTCCCATGGCACAAGAAAACCAGGCTAGGACCAGGTAGCACCTTGGGAGTCCATGCGGTAGAGAAAAAAGAGGGAAAACTGAGGGTAGGCAAAATGAATGAGCTGACTAGACGGTACAGACATACGAAGGACCTGCCAGCTCAAGGACAGTTAAGGCATGGTGGTCAGAGGAAGAGGACGGTAGGGTGGGATGGGGGATAACAGGATAGAATCTCAGCAATAACGCTCAAGCTCCAGAAGGCTTACCCATTGCCATCAGGTCTCAAGTCGGGACCAAAACTCTTGAGGAAGGAAGCTTAGGAGAAGCAGGCAGGGGATTGAGTCCCCACTCCTAGAAGGTGTTGGGGCAAACTTAGGGAAGGAAAAGGAATAGGAGGCCAACTTTACAGGTTACGAACATGAATGAACAGGGTAATTTGGAAGTCGGCAGCTGATAGGCAACCAGAGCTTCTCCCCATCATGAAAATTAGTGCACTGGTTAGTCACAGGATTACATTCAAGTACCACTCAGTGGTGCCGTTAATTCCACCAATACCCTGCCTGACCCTTTCATAACTGATGCAGGCACTGAGGTGAGCCCTGGTCTAAAGGCTGAGTTCATCAACAGGTCCAGCAGAGGGAAGATAAAGAAGGCAAAAAAGTTGAAAAAATGAGGCAGGGACTGAAAACATGAAGCATAAGTAGATGAGCTTCACTATTTATACTTTATTACTTGTCTCTCACAAAACTTGGGGACAGATGATCAGTGCCATGATTTGCAAGTACTTAGGGCAACATTACCAGTAAACCAATAGTAGCCCCCAGAAGTTCACTAATGCCCCGTGGCAGACGAATGGCGTTCCTTTTTATTTCTTTATTATTATTATTCTTTTCGGCCGTGCCCGCAGCTTGAGGGATCTTAGTTCCCTGACCAGGGATCGAACCCAGGCCCTTGGCAGTGAGAGTGCAGTCCTAACCACTGGAGAGCCAGGAAATTCTGGCATTCCTTTTATGATAAAGTTCCAAGGCCCATGGAGGAGGGGAATGCTGTAAACATGAAGTCCTGGCTTCTACCATCACATCTGATGAAGTCTCTACACTCTCCTTATAAACAAAAATTTTAAATGCGAGGATGAGGACATCCCAGGGTAAATTTCTTTTTCTTTTTTTTTTTTAAGATACTTTTTAAAAAAAATTTATTTATTTATTTATTTATTTAATTTTTGGCTGTGTTGGGTCTTTGTTGCTGTGCACAGGCTTTCTCTAGTTGCTGTGAGCGGGGGCGGGGGGGGGGCTACTCTTCATTGTGCTGCACGGGCTTCTCATTGCGGTGGCTTCTCTTGTTGCGGAGCACAGGCTCTAGGTGCACGGGCTTCAGTAGTTGTGGCACGTGGGCTCAGCAGTTGTGGCTCGTGGGCTCCAGAGTGCAGGCTCAGTAGTTGTGGTGCATGGGCTTAGTTGCTCCGCAGCATGTGAGCTCCTCCTGGACCAGGGCTCGAACCCGTGTCCCCTTCATTGGCAGGCGGATTCTTAACCACAGTGCCACCAGGGAAGCCCCCATCCTAGGGTAAATTTCTAACCGGCTCAAGGAGGGAATCCAAACACTGTTATTAGTGAATCTGTGCTAAAATAAAGTGAAGTTGCTAAAGGCATGCCACCGGCCTCTACCCTGAGTCCTGGCTAGTTTAACAATTTTAATCAATGGCTTCAATGAGACCAATCGCTAGTAATCACAGATGTGATTGGAAGGCACAGTGAATAAGGTGGATGACAGAACCAAGATCCAGAAAGACTTCAGAAGGCTGGGGAGATAAGATATTCCACAGGAATACGTGTCAGATACTACACCTAGATAAAAAAGCAAACTGTAAAATGAACAAGGGAAAACGAAAACGGGTTTATGACAACATGTGTAAAACTAAATTAGAAGTCAGTTAAGACCACAAGCTTATTAACCTAAGTTAGCAGTGTCATGGAACAGCAAGAAGAGCTAATGAGACTTCCCCTTTAAGAAGCCTAGCATCCAGACAAGGGAATGGAGACCCCCAACTCTAAGCTGCATTGGATTGACCAGGCTCAGGGCACTGTGTTCAGACATAGATGTCATCCTTGAAGACAAATGGACACATGTTGAAGACCAAAAACTGACAAATGAGACAGGGTTGACAGAACTAAGGACTCAGTCTAGAGCAGAGAACACACACTGACAGCTGGTAGGCTAGATCCAGAAGGCAGATGGCTTTAATTCATTCTGAACAGGATTTTAAAACTATCAGAAAATTTCACAAAAAAACTGAATTTGGGAGAAAAAAATTTCTCTTGGAAAAAAAAAAAATGTCTGGCAATACTTAAGAAAGAGGTATAGTCAAAGCTCCCTTCAGTAGGAGCTGGTCTGCCTCCTATTGTCTGACACCTGGCCACCAGACTATTATAAATGAGCCTATAGGCATTTGAGTTGTAACTGCTGTTTTAGAGAAAAAGAGGCAAGAGGTAAATACAAAAGCTGTGTTCTAAGACCTGAAAGGTTATGCCTGGGCTAGTGATATACTAAGGGACTCTTCTGAAGAAATAAGGCCAAAAGGTATCAGGTATAAGGAGATTCAACATAAAAAATAACTTTCTAACAAAAATGGAACAATCTACCTGAGTATGTGGCCCTTTCTCACTGAAAAAGGGCAAGGAGAGGTCACCCCTCATCAGGGTCTCAAAGAAAACTGATTCACGGCATAAAGAACTAGAAGAGACAACCCAAAATGTCCCTTCCAAGTCTGGGTTTCTCTGTTGTTTTAATTTTAGGAGCTTTATCAGTACCCATCAACCACGGAGAGCACACTGACTGGGCCCTTTGCAGGATTTACTGTTTCCATGTCAACTAAACACAGTGTCTACTGTTGAATCATTATCCGATCCTCTCGGGCACTTTAATTTACCATAAATGTAAGAGAACCTTGTTTTTCATCAGTTTTGAGAGACGGGGGCTACTCCTGCGTTGAAGTCATTCCAAGTTATGGTAAAGGGAATCACAAGGAGGAATCATGGTTTAATGGACAGAAAACCAGAATAGGAAATGTGCTGGGGAAACCTGGATAACTTTTCTAGACCTCAGATTTATTCATCTATAAAATGGGCACAAAACTTAGCCATGTCTCCTCTAGATCGCTGTATAAATCAAATTAAATAATGCATGTAAAGGTGGTCTGACAACTATACAGTGCTACAGAAATGCAAGGACTTTCCAATACAAACACAGACCTGTTATGTCTTGCTTTTGTTTTGCCTGAAATGCATTTTACCTACTTGGGATAAGGGTCTGGATCAACCTATTTCCCAGTGATCCATGAATCTACCTATTTATCTACTACCTCTCTAGCTATATATCAAATCTCACTTTTCCAAGGCTTCTCAACCTAGTATGTCCAGAATTCTAAATGTATTAATTTAAGGAATGAGGTCATCACTGAGGTTATCAACCTTTATCCAAGTAAGGCATAGGAGATCAGTTTTCTCCAAAGTAATGCTTTGAATTTGAAGTTCTGCATATTGGCTCACTAGGAGATATTTATTCTTTTCCACATAAGGCATCTCATTAATCACTTAGAAAGGAGTTACAACAATCCATACATCAGTTGGCTCAAGTATGCATTTTTTATAGATGAATGTTTACAAGAGCAAGGAGATAATACCTAAACATTCAGGGCCATGAAAGTACCCAATTCCGGGGTAAAAACATATGATTTACAGTTATAAAATGTAAAATTACAAATCAAGAAAAGTAGGTAGGTATCCTGAAAAGTTCCAAACAGATAGGTGACAGTTAATCTCTTCAAGGGAGTCTTAAGGTGTCAAGCTGTGCTACTTCCTAGTTGTGGAAGCTCACCAGTACCCTGACTTTGATTATTTATTAAAGCTTACCTATGCTCTAGACCATGCCTACTCAGTTTTAACAGATGAATGAAATAGTTTAAAATCCTTATGCAAATAAAAGTTTTCAAGTTTACATAAGGATTCACACAAACTAGGGTTATACAAATGAAATTCCTTTATAATTAAACTTTAAGAAAGAAAACTGCAGGGATTTAGGCATTAGCATTCCTTGTTGTTTAAAATGTAATAAATTTCCAGCACAATAAACTAAAGAGGTACCTATTACTTTTAATGGGCAATAATGAAAAATAACGTATGTGTATATATTTGTTTACAGGGTGATGTAACTGTCACTGTAAGATTTTGTTAACAAACATCAAGAGAAAATGAGATAAAGTGTTATCAACTGAAAAACAAATACATGCAACCACAACAATGTGCTTACCTGTAATACAAATTTCTGATCTATGTATTTTTTGGCAATGCTGGGTTGGAATTCTTGGCTTTCCAAAAATCGTATGAAAAACTCATATACAAGCTGCAACAAATAGGTTATCGTTAATTTCAAAATATAATTCACTGAGAATAGTATCAAAAACCTTAAAAAGCTCTAATACTAAAACTGACAAGGGGTTTAGTAGGTTTTAATATCATTCAACTAGCAGTGCCAGCCTTTCTTGTAGCTCACAGCTGCTGTTGTGATTTTTAACTTTTTAAATGTAAAATCTGGAAACACAGCCAAAGAGAGCAAATAAAAATATCCCATAATCTCACCATTAAGAGTTAACCACTGTTAACACTTTAATGTATAAAACTCCCAATTTTTCTCTATACTTCTATAATATACCAATGTACTATAAATATATATATATATATAATATAGTTTTAAAACTACTTTTACCATCTAAACAATATATTGTGGACAATTTATGCCAACAATATCTAAGCCACCATTCTCAAGCTACAAGCAGTCCATTATACATATTTATAATGAATAATTCCAATACTCATAATTAATTTAACCAATATCCTATGCTTAGACACTTAAGTAGTTTTTAAATTACTTCTCTATTAAATTATGCCAGAATGTACATTATATAACATGCATCAGTGTGCACGTGTTCAATTATTTCATGAGGAAATATTTCTAAAAGTAGAATTGTTAGATCAAAAGATATCCAAACACGTCAGGATTTTCAACATTCATTACCAATTTCCTTTTAGAGAGTTTATGGCAATTTACACTCCTCTAAGCAATATATGATGGTGTATCAGGATATTCTCATCTGCAAAGAGTAAGAATACTCTCATCTGCAGAGGCAACCTCAAATAACCATTTTAATAAACCATGGGGGATCACTGTTTATACTCTTTGCAAAATAAATCTATGTTAAAGTATACATTAAATCCTGGTGTAGTATACAACAGTATATCAAAACCAAGACTTTCAAGAGACAGGTAGACACTGGGTTGAAAGCCTAGCTCTACCCCTTACTAACTGTGTGACCCTAGGCAAGTTAATTTCTCTAAAAGTCTTTTGCTTCAACTGTATAATGGGGATGATAATCCCTGAGATTAATGTGATTTTTTATAGATATATTGCCCTCTGCACAGTGGTTAACACATATCACCACTGTCATTACTGTCATTATTGCCTAAAACAGCATTCTCAAACTTTTTAGTCTCACTCCTTTACACTGAAAAATTATTGAAGACTCAAAAAAGCTTTCTGTTTACATGAGATATATATATGAAAGTAGAAATAAAAATTGAGAAAATTTAATATATTTATTATTTTAGAACAATAAAATATATCACATGTTAACATAACTAACATATTTTTGTGAAAAACAAATTTATTTTCCAAAAAAGTTACTAGGAAGAGAAGCACTTTTTTATTTTTGTAAATCTCTTTAACAGCATATGAAGAGACAGAATCTTGGGCTTCCCTGGGGCGCAGTGGTTGAGAGTCCACCTGCCGATGCAGGGGACACGGGTTCGTGCGCCCGTCCGGGAGGATCCCACATGCCGCGGAGCGGCTGGGCCCGTGAGCCATGGCCGCTGACCTGCGCGTCCGGAGCCTGTGCTCCGCAACGGGAGAGGCCGGAACAACGAGAGGCCCGCCTACCGCAAAAAAAAAAAAAAAAAGAAAAGACAGAATCTTATCTGTCTCCATATTCAAGCTGTCGTAATATACTGTTTTGGTTAAAGTATATAAAGAAAATCAAGCTTCACAGAAATCTACTAGTATGAAAAAGGGAGAGTATGTTCATAGTTTCTTCACATAATTGTAGATACTTTTCTTTGATACTACACCAGAACTTGACAGTCATTTCTTGAAGAAAAGTTGCAGTTGTAGAATCTGAAACTGTATCAATGAATTTTTCATACCATTAAACTAAATTCCAATCATCTCTCTTGCACTTTGGATGATCTTTACCCATGCATGACTGCCTAACATCATTCGTTGGCCAACTGGAAAATATTGGTTCACTGAGTTATGGAGATTTTTCAAATGTTGACACATTTCATTACATACATACATAGTATCAATAAAAGTCACATTCCTTAATATCTCTAACTTTATAAAAAAAAGGCTTTAAGCTTTGGGGAGCTGTAAAGCTCAAGGTAACAGATAAAGGAAAGATACAGCTTTTCAAAATTCTAATTCTAAATTTTTCTTCAATGCTTTAATTTTATCAGTAGTAAAATAATTGTTTGTTTGTTTTAGAGAAAACATCCACCAAATACCCAAGTCAGAACAACCATAGTTTGTCAGGTATTCTTTCAAGTAAAAATGACAGCTCATGAAAAAACAGCTAGTTTAGCTTGCAGCTCAAACAATCACACAAATGTTTTGGCACAAGACAACTATTCAGTATGCAGCAGATGTGCTTTATGCATACTTTCCATTTCATCATGAAGAATATTATCTTTAATGTGTACTCAAAGGTCAAGATTTAATAAAATTAATAATTTTTGCTGCTTCTTCAAGGACATTCTTGATTGAAATTGGCTTTTTTTTTTTTTAATTGTAAGTGCATGGCAATGAAGAATATGACTACTAGACCAGTTGGGCACAACTGCCTTATTTGTGCTAACACAACAGCAATTTCAACCACCACTGCTTTTACAAATATTAGTGCAAATGTCAACACAGTGAAAGGAGCAAATAATACAGTATTATTATAAAACTACTTTTGACCTTGCAGGCCACTGACAATTAGGTCTCAGGTCCCCCCTAAGGGTTTACAGATACCACTAACCTAAATGTGTCACACAGTGACCTTGTGACTTCAGACTCTAACATTTAATATTAGGTATTCACATTAGGATTTTACTTCTTTATAAAACTATGTTTTTCTCTCTGAATTCAGAAGAAACTTCTTTCCCAGTTATCTGAACATTGCCAAGTTGTACTTCTAGTCATAATAATGCCTGAGTTCAAATACCCCCTAGAAGGATTGTTCTTTTTCCAATAAACTAATCTTTCAACTCTTGGTTTTACAAACAGAACATCAGCCTTGTTCAAATAACCCATAAACAGGGGTTTCATCTCTCTTTTGATTCCTACAAAGTGGAGAGATTCTCATCTTCCAGGCCTGACTTGTGGGCAAGCAGGGCTTTCCAGTGGGATTGGCAAAATGTCCTCTCCCCTCTGGTCCCTTGAAAGCAGTTATGGTTTAAAAAATTTGATGGAAACACTTCAGACATATTAATTAATAAGCATAAATGTTCTCTACTTTAAAAGACAGATTTTACCTAAGAATCAAAAATCTCCCTTGAGTTTCTAAAGGGAAGGACTAGGGACTGCAGAGGATAAATTACTTTTCAAGGTCACATAAGTGAATTCTTCAAGGAACACGAATAAAAAGACTTTAGTATTCTGGTTTTTCAGTCTCCAGTGTAAAGCATTAAAAACAATCCCTTAATTGTAAATGGAAGTCCTACAAAATTGTATTCTACTATAAAAACAGACCCAATTTCAAAAAATACGCAAAAAATAACCATGGTAACCGTGGGATACCAGTTTAAAAGATACCAACGCAGATAATAGAAAAGATCAAATGACACACATACAGTAGATCTTTTGACATATGTGAACTAAAAATTTGTAGATTTAATACTTTTTCTTATTTTTAAATATCCTCAAAGATCCATGATTTGTTGTAATGAGTAATTCTATACGAGCCACAATTAAAATCAGAGAGTGCAGGAGCAGACAGTGAGGCAAGGAGCCTAGCCAACCACCCAACAACCATAATGTGATTTTGTTTTTCTCTACTATTGTCAGAGATTTGGTAATAAACACCGTGCTTCCTTGCAAAATGTGGGCCAGAATCAGCAGCACACTGCTAATGCTGGAGTTAAGAAAAAGTGAAAAGGCTGAAGAAAGTGCTGTTTGGGTCTGGAAAAATCGATTGTTGGATCAATCATAAAGTAAAATGTTGAATTTAGTGATGGGTCACCACGACATGAATGACCTATCACGAACAGAAAAGAAGTTTTCTTAAACATTCAACGAGGGCTCTTGCCAGTACTAAAACCACTTATTAGTGAAAATGGAAAGGTGACTGATTTGTGGAGTCAGAATATACAAAGAAAACACAGAATTCGTGAGACAAGTCAGGAGCCAGTACAAATACTTCCATAAAGCAAAAGACAGTGCCTTCTGACTTGGCCTTTGCTATGAATGAAGGTTCATTTGTGAATTTTAAGAGTAGATTTCTTTTTTTTAAAATTAATTTTAATTTTATTGGAGTATAGTTGATTTATAACGTTATGTTAGTTTCAGGTGTACAGCAAAGTGATTGTTATACATATATATATATTCATTCTTTTCTCTTACAGGCTTCTTTACCTGATCCAGCCTATGTCATGTTTCCCCCTGAGCTAAAGAAGGGGAGAGAGGACTACAGGCTGAAACAAGATGTCAACACAGATGAAACCAGCCTGTTTTGGAACACAGTTTGTGACTTCAGATCCATTAAGGGTACAGGTCTCAGCATCACTCCTCACTGTTGCTTTGGTTTTAAGCATTGCAGATGAACTAATGGTTAATGTTCCTGTAGTAAAGACACAGTGTAAGCTCAAGATTTTTGGTGGCAGAATTCTGCTTAATAGCTTTAGAAATTAATTTAGACCCATATTTTATAGAGTCATTAAGCTTAGCAAGGATTAACTGAAATACTGAGTTAAATATTGAGTATGATAAAGTTTATCATACTTTAGGGGAAATTTATATCTATGGCGATCATGATTTAGAGTATTCAAAAAGCTCCTGCAAATGGCAAGAATGGTCTACTCTCTCTTCTTCAGGAGGTAGACAAGACAACAAGTTGAAGCTTTGAAGACATCTCCTTCCCTGTCTTTTCAACCACAAGATGCAGGACTTTTCTGAGAAAAGTATCTTTTTTGTTTGCTTTGTTTTTTAAATTTCTTCCAGACTATACTGCACTTCTGTGAACTGGTGCCAAGCATCAAGAATAAGACATGACAAAAAGTCCATCCATTCAAAACAGTAATTCCATTTTTTGTTTTCTTTTTGGATTTTTTGTCATAATCTGGGATACACCATGAAAAGCACAAGTAGTTTTGCAAATTTCTTAGATTACAGATAGTATGTCTGGCACCTTATAAAAAAAAATCAAACATCTAAGATAGTAAATCAACTACAATGTTTTAACTAATTTACTCTGTATTTTGGCATTGGTAGCAGGAATACATATGTATTACATGCCTAGGTAAGAGTTGAGAAAACACAGCCCCTGAAAGCTCTCCACATAACTAGGGGAAACAGCATTACATGTATATCTGCAGCAACCTTGAGCTTCCAAAGCAGGACAGGGAAAGCTGCAAATTTATGTCAATAATTCTGAAGTGGGGAAAAAAATAAACCCTTAGAATATCTCTAGGCCTTATCTCCCTGCTGCATAGTTTTCTGCCCTTCAGAAAGTCAACTAGTAACCGTGAGCACACTTCTACAAAGATGCAGTGACTTCTGCCTTAGGGTGAAAATGGACATGGTCATATTCCTTCTCTACCACCCCTTCCCTCCCCACTAGCTGTCACATAGCCTCTGAGGACATTCTAACTGAATGGAAAAATGGCTTTGAGGTTCATTACACTCACATTTCCTTGTTCTACTCATTTGAGAAATGCTGGCCTTGAAACAAGGCAGCCAGGAAAGGAGGATGGAAAAGGTCTGGTATGGATAAGTAAATACGATACAAATGGGAAAGGAGATGCAGGGGTGGTCCTAATCTGTCCTGGCACATGAGGATGATTGGAAAACATGGCCTTCTCAGTGCAAGAGTGCAAAATTGGCCTTTGCACAAGATTTTTCTCAGCTATTGCTCTTCCTTACAACACTGTGAAATAGCTATTGCAATTTGATTTTGCCCTTCCAGGCTAAAGAAACACATTCGTGGTTATCTTGAAGACAGGCATTCAAAGTCCCCCGGGTACCTAACTGCTGAAAATGAGGTACGTACTCTGTGACCTAATCACATCTAACTAGTATTAATGGAAAATAGTTCTGTTCTTGTTTGAGCCTCCAGCAGGAAGGATCACATAGAAGCTCTAATAAAATCACTGGCTGAGCATGCAACCCAGGAGGGCCCACCCTAAAGCATTATAATGCTTATTATTTTATTCTTTTGGCATCCTAATTATCAACAGTAAGAAACATAAAAAGCATTCTCTAGCTTTCCAGTAATGTACTCTAATTTGATTTCTTGGTGAATAAGGCCTTCAAGGAATTCCCATGCTAATCAGCTAATGAGTTAATGGATCTTTCTTTTATAACAAATAGTAGTTCAAAGTACCTGTAAGTGTGGCCACGATGCCTCAAGGGTAGGTTCATCTTCTTCTGGATCAAATTCATTGCTGTCACTAGGAGGGAGAGTTCTGAATATATTGCAAGACACCTAAAAATAAACAAGCAGCAGAGTTAGCTGGAATGGAATCACCTCCTCAGCAGCCTTACACAAGGTCTTTGCAGCCAGCAGAAGGGAACCCAGACGACAGATGACAGGAACACCACCAGACTGGAAGGAAAACTCTTTCTATAGGCTTTGAGGCCAGAACCACCTCCAGGAAAAGATGGAAAACAGCAGAGCAGCACCCCCTTGACCAGTATTTGGAGTCCTTATAAGGCCTCCCCCACCCAGGTCCCTGTGATCTTATGCCTCCTATCAAAGCTTGTGCTTCGTTACTTATCAGTCAAGCGTGCTCCTAATTAATCAGTTTACACTAAAATATAAATAACTGTTAATGGGCTTCATGTATTTCCCTTCTCAGGCTTATTCATGATTTGCAAATTTACAGTTATACTAATAGTAAAATTTCAGGCATCTACAAAAAGCAAATCAGAAAAGATATTTCAGAAACTGAAGTTCTTAAAATCATATCTAATCTGTTCTCAGTTGGTTTACAAAATAGTAACAATGCCCAGGGTAAGATACATCTGTAATACAAATTTCTATAGACCAGGTATTTCTTTACCATGGGAAATTTCCAGATTAAATCCCGGATGCTCAAAGAATGGCCATGAGTTGATAACTGTTGAAACTGGGCTATGAAGAGACGAGGATTCATTATACTATTCTACTATTTCTGCATATATTCCAAGATTTCTATAGTAAAATGCTTATTTTTAAAATGCTGTTGCTACTATTTTGCAGTAACCTACGCAGGGTTCCTTCCAATTTCTATTCTGTTTCTTGTTCTATTACTTATCTATCCTCTCCTAATGACCCAAATGTATCCTCAGATCTAAAAAATAAAACAGGGGTGGGGAGGGAATTCCCTGGTGGTCCAGTGAGCTTTCACTGAGGAGGGCCCGGGTTCAATCCCTGGTTGGGGAACTAAGATCCTGCAAGCCACCGCTGTGGGCCAGGAAAAAAAAAAGGAGGCACGGGGGGGAGAGATTGCACCAGAAGCTGGACTTTCTGTATAAAGTAGAAAATACGAAGCTATGATATGTTGCTCTGAAAGAGGGAAAAAGAAAGGCTTCTGGAGGCCCATATAATCTGAATGTGTTTACTCATTCAACAAATAATTATTAAGTGCCCATTATGTGCACACACTGTTCTGGGCACTGGGACAATAGCAATGAACAAAGCAGAGAAAAATCTGTGCCTTCCAGGAGTTCATATTCTAGGTAAAGTCATGATTATCCCTATTTTCTAGATATGGAAATTAAACCCAGATGTGTAAGCTCTGGAAAGAAGATTTGATTTTATTCTAAGCTCAATGGGAAGACACCAGTGGATCTAAACAGGGAAGTGACATGGTTTGATTTTTACTTTTAAAAAAAAAAAAATCACTCTGGCAGCTATGTATAGAACAGACAGGAAGGGTACAAGTTAGAAGTCTGTGGAAGTGGCAAGATATGATGATGGCTAGCAGAGAAGACAGAAATAGAATGATTCAAAATATATTCTGGAGGTAGTATTTGCTGCTGGCTTGGATGTATGGGGTGAACGAAAGGAAAGATTCAAGGATGAGTCACAGATATAAGGTCATTTACCAAAGATGGAGATGACTGGGAAAGGGAAGTTTTCTTTGTTTCCTTGCCTTGGTGGGGAGATCCAGAGATCCAGTTAGAAATATGTTAAAGGAGCAATATCCAGGAGCCAATCAGACACATGAATCTGTACCTCAGAGCTGGACAGGTCAGGACTGGAGACATACAGGGACTCAGCAGCATGCAGACGATATTTAAAGCCATGGGACTAAGGGATCTCCTTGGAAAGGAATGAATAGAAAGAAGGGAAAGGACCCTGAAGTATCCAACATTTAGAAACCAGACAGGAAAAAAAAAAAAAAAAGGCCAAAATAGGCAAATGAAAAGGAGTAGGAGGTAGGAGAAGAAAACAGTAGAGTAGGGGGGTCTTAGGAGCTAGGAGAGAAGAGTGTCTTAAGAAGGAAAAAGAGGACAACAGCAGCAAGTGTTGTTCTGAGGTGGACTAAGATGAGCACAGAGCAGCACTGAAGTGGGTACTGTCATTCCCCAATTTACCGCTGAGGAACGAGAAGCATGGATGTGGAGATCTGAAGTTACCATTAGTAACCAGCAGCTATGACTGAACCCAGTCATAGCTGCTGGTTACTATACTAACACTACAGTGGAGCTGTCAGGCTCCACTATAGTGTTCTAGAAAAGTGGGCAGACTACCTCTTTGGCTCTCCTTTAGCTTAGATGACTGAAAAAAAAAATTATCGTATTAGAACATTTTTGCTATGGCTAATTACAGCATGCACATTCATATTATTTTACTTTGGTTCCTTCCAATGATTATTAAAAATTATGTTTACAAAGAAACTGGTGACTTTTCAAATAATCATCAACCAATGACTTCTCTTCAACCAGCCAGTCATACTGTAATCAAAAGAGCAAAAATCGGGCTTCCCTGGTGACGCAGTGGTTGAGAGTCCGCCTGCCGATGCAGGGGACACGGGTTCGTGCCCTGGTCCACGAAGATCCCACATGCCGCGGAGCGGCTGGGCCCGTGAGCCATGGCCGCTGAGCCTGCGCGTCCGGAGCCTGTGCTCCGCAACGGGAGAGGCCACAACAGTGAGAGGCCCGCGTACCGGGAAAAACAACAACAACAACAAAAATCTGGGTAAAAGGACACAATCTTCTGTTTCTCTGAACTCTCTGACACATTAACACTCTTATGTGCCCATCATGGGCTGCAGCAAGTATTTGTTTCCATATATGTCTCTTCCCGCTAATTAGGAATATGCAATGTCATATTCACATTTGTTTTCTTGGCACATATGGGGCATCCAATAAATGTTCACAAAATAAAGGTTTGGATATATAATAAAACTGTATGTTTTGGTTTTCCTTTAACCAAATTTAAATTTTTGAGTGATTTAGTGATTATCTAACCTAAGATGTTTAACTCTGCACAGTGTTCTAAACCTCTCTTGGTCAAAGCTTCATCTCTCAATTATCATCACATCAAAAGAATGTTGAATTGTGTAAATAATCCAAACAGCAAATAGTTCTAAAGGCATGTACATCTCACTTAGCCACACACTGCCATATCTTCAGATCTGCCTTCCTTACAACGCTTTAATATACTTCTAAACATTTAGTATACTACTAAGCATTCACCATGAGTAATGAGGAAGCAAGGATCTATTAGGCTGGACAATTAATAGTCAACTCAACTGGTGAAGTAGTTCCCTATCACAAATGGAAAGAATGTCAAAGCAAATCAAGTGTCATGGAAAAGGCCAAGCCTTTGACCGTGCCTAGCACGTAACAGGTGCTTAATAAAAATGTCATGAATGAATGAACCATTGCTCTCATCCTTGAGAATCTATCCTAAGAAACTAATCTAAGACAAGACTGAAAAAACTACTTAAAGCAGTCATTTGCAACATTCTCCAAAGAGTGTAAAACTGGAAATAACCTTTATGTCCAACATTAGAGACGTATATCTATTTAGTAGAACACTGTGTAGCACTGAAGATGATTGCTATATTGAAGCACAAAGAAATGTTAGAAATAAAGATTTAGGGGGAAAGATGATGTGACTATAACGGTGTGACTAATTACAAAGATAAGAATGAAAATGGATAACTAAAGGGAAATTAAGAAAAGCTGTATTAAAGCAAGAGAAATATGGATAAAACAGTAGTTGCTGTTTATCCTCTTGGGACACACCAAATTAGTCCTAAATCCATAAAAAGCATAAGGTATCGACATGCAGTATGTGAGTTATACTTTTAATTTCAAGATGAAAATGCGCTCTTGAATTTGAACAAGATTATTACCGTCAGGAGAGTTAAAAATTAGTGCTGCTCACAATGCCTAGAGTCTAGCTCATGAATGAATGGTTGAAGGACTGAATGACGGGACCACTTTAAGTATACATTTGAGCTCCAAAATCATGAGTTTAAAATTGGGTCATCCTTGAATGGGCTGGGGGAAAGGGGCGGGGGAGAGGGGAATCCTCTAAATCTCCTGAATTTCCTGCAACACTTTGTATGTGTGAGCCCAACTGGGGAAAAGATCCAGTTGACTTCACAAGATTTTCAAAAGACTTCCAAGATCTAAAAATGGTTAAAAACCACGGTACAAAATAATAAATTTGCATCCATTAAATCTTCCTTTATGATGGCAGCCACTTCTGATTTATAGCCCAGGTTTTAAATGGATTATTAAGTAGCTAACATTATTAAATAGGTAATGCTAGTTGCGTGCTATGAAAATGTATCATGACTACAAGTAACCACCAGCATCCCTCCTCAGCACAGAGCAGTATTGTAAAGAGTCTATATAGCTAGAAGAAAATGCATCCAGGTATTTATAAAGTCACAAACTATCTCTATTAATATATTTAAATATATGAGGCTCTAGCCCTAAGCCTTCTATTTTATTCCTTCAAACACAAATTATCAAAAATAAATAAAAGAAACAACCCAATCGAAAAAGGGCAGAAGACCTAAATAGACATTTCTCCAAAGAAGATACACAGATTGCGAACAAACACATGAAAAGATGCTCAACATCACTAATCATTAGAGAAATGCAAATCAAACCTACAATGAGATATCATCTCACAACACTCAGAATGGCCACCATCAAAAAATCTATTAACGATAAATGCTGGAGAGGGTGTGGTGAAAAGGGAACCCTCCTACACTGTTGGTGGCAATGTAAATTGGTATAGCCACTATGTACAACAGTATGGAGATTTCTTAAGAAACTAAAACTAGGGCTTCCCTGGTGGTGCAGTGGTTGAGAATCTGCCTGCCAATGCAGGGGACACGGGTTCGAGCCCTGGTCTGGGAGGATCCCACATGCCACAGAGCAGCTGGGCCCGTGAGCCACAACTACTGAGCCTGCGCATCTGGAGCCTGTGCTCCACAACAAGAGAAGCCGCGATAGTGAGCGGCCCGCGCACCG